GTGTAAGTCAGATAAAGGGTCGGTGGTCGGTGTACATAGTGAATTTCCTACCGTATTAATAAGGTTTAAAATACTTCGTAGCCCATATTATGGTTAACAGTTCCTTTTCTATCTTAGAATACCTAGTTTCGGGGTTGGATAGTGTACGTGAAGCATACGCTATTGATTTGTTGGACCCTGTAGTGCCTTGGGATAAAACAGCACCGATTGATATGTCTGAAGCGTCCGTATTTAAGATATTACTATACGATATTATTATACGAAGTTCAGATATTGCAAAATAGGTGCGTTAAATACGATACACTTAGATTTTTCGAACGACTAAAAATTCAGGAGTATGACTGATTTTCGCGTTTTTCTTTTGATATTTAGTGAGAAGTTTTGTAAGAAATGATTTTAACTCCTTTTGGGTGTAACATGTTGGGATTTTCTTTACTGCTTTTATTTCGTCATCATTGAGTTTCAATCATTCGCTAGATACGTGACTATTGATTATTGAGGTCATACATTGCAGAAAAATCAATAAAAAATATTTGTGTATTTTTATATTTATTGATTATAGATTTTTGTGTGTTGGTGTGTTTACGTAATTTATTGATCCTTTCGATGGCGATAGTCGTCTCATCGTCGGGGAGGTCGAGAATGTGTCGCGGTCTACGGTGAATGCGGCGGAACGTACCTAGCGGCGTGGGTCTGTAAGAGGCGGCTCCTACGATTAACGGGTTGGGGTGCGCGGCGGCGGAATCAAAGTATCGGCGCGACGCCGACTTCAGGAATTGAGTGATGGTGGGCAACTCTAAATCGACATGTAGGTCAATATTGCGCATGAACCAGGGTGCTCCCGTAACTCTGCGCATGAACCGATTTTGGATGACCTGAAGACGGTGTATTTGTTTCGGGGCGATATGTGCGAAAACCGGACTCGCGTATGTCATAATAGGGCGAACTACTGCCTTATATAAGATCACCTTGTTCCGAAGGGGCATTTTAGAATTTTTGGTTGAGGAGCGGATGGAGGCGACTGAGTACGAAGGCCGCCCGGTTCCTGACCCGAGTCACGTGCTGGTTGAATTTAAGTTGGGAGTCGAGGACGACACCTAAGTATTTGACTTTGTTCACCCATGGTACCGGACTATCCATGAGTTTAACGGGAGGTGGTGGGTTAGTTAAGTTTTTATGTGAGAAAAGGACGGCCGCGCTTTTAGCGGGATTGATCTCGATCCTCCAATGCCGAAACCAGTCACCGATGGTGATGGCTGCGATTTGAAGGCGTCGATGGATTGTTTCGGGTGTTCTGCCTGTAGTATAGAGACAGGTGTCGTCAGCAAAGAGGGCGAATTCTACATCTTTGACACGTGGTATGTCATTGGTGTAGATCGTAAATAGGACTGGGCCCAACACCGACCCTTGGGGCACCCCGGCTCGAACGGGATGCGTTGTCGAATGCACGCCCTCGACGCGATAGCGAAAGGTCCGATTACTCAGGAAGTCTCGTATTATGCATACGAGACGGTCGGGCACTCCGTACCCGTATAACTTGTATACGAGCCCGTTGTGCCAGACTTTGTCGAACGCCTTTGCTACGTCCAGGAAGAGTGCTCCGGTGTTGAGCCCGCGTTGTCGTTTGGCTAGAATGTGCTCCGTAATGCGGTGCACTTGGTGGGTACATGAATGTTTGGCTCTGAATCCAAACTGTTCTGGGATGGGGAGGCCTTTAGTGTCCATAAGGGATCTTAGGCGGGCTAATATTAGTCTTTCATAGATCTTCCCAAAGGTTTTGAGAAGAGTTATTGAACGATAAGAGGTTGGGAGAGTGGCGGGTTTGAAGGGTTTGAGGAACCCTATGACATCAGCTTCCTTCCATTCTGACGGGAAGAAGCCTTCGGTTAAAGCCGCGTTGTATATTATAGCTAGGATCTGAAGGATACTAGCAGGAAGGAGTTTGGTTACCTTATTGGTGATGCCATCTGAGCCAGGCGCTTTGCGTGGGCGTAGTTTTTTAATGGTCTCTACTAGTTCTAGGCACGTGACCGGGGGAACGGGATCGCGAAGTGGCTCTAGAGCTTTCCTTTCAACCTCTTCGTTCACCTTGCGGAGGTATTCTGGGTTGACCGGAAGCAGACTAGGGGAGCATTGGGACTCTAGACTGTCAGCTAGGCATTCGGCTTTCTCTTCGTCCGGCATTGCTGGCGTACCTATCGGGCGGGATTAGTGGTGGCATGTTTAAAGTGGCGTTTCCCTTTAGGGATTTGGGAAGTTTCGTTTCGTGTGGTACGTGTTTTGATCAATGTGATACGTGTTTTGACTTCACGCTGCAATTTACGTAGCAGTCTGCGATTCGAGTCGGTGGGATATCTATCATGGGCATGAGTTGCCGCATTCTTGTGTCTCAGCAAGTCACGAACATCATCTGGCTGGGCCCAGCGATGCCGATGACAAGTTTCCGGCTGCACTCATCGCACACATAACTGTTGTGTTGCTTCCTCGCTCAGTAAGTCACGCACATCATCTGGCAGGGCCCAGCGATGGTCGTCCATTGCTGGGACCTGTCTCGAGCATTGCTCGACGACGGTGTTAACGTGGCTCGTGAGGGCCCGAATTGTTGTCTCAGTGTCCTGCTTGTTATTAAGTTGGTCTGGGATTGACTAATAGCTGAGGATTGGGTTCGTTAAGTTTGGTTTTTACTTTGTGCCAACTAATGACTGTTTTGGTTTGGGGAACGGCTACTGCTGAAGGCCCTAGCCGAAGAAGAACTGGTCTGTGATCAGAGTGAAGCTCATGTATCACTTCTGGATCGCGTATTGAGAGATTGATGTTTTTGACGACTGCAATATCAAGCACATCCGATGAGTGTTGCGCTATGTAAGAAAAGTGCGTATGTTCGACGGGGGCTACAACTTCTAAGTTGAGCCAGTCGGATAGCGAGTCGAGTGCGATGCCTCGACTGTTGGTACGTGTTGAGTTCCATCGGGTGTGCTTGCTGTTGAAGTCGCCTGCTAGGATGGTGGCTCCTCCTATAGAGAAGAGGGCCTCGAAATCTGATTGCAATATTGTTGCGGTTGATCTGCAGCGGAGGTATACTGATGCTAATGTGATGGGAGATTGGCCGGTTAATGCCAGCTGACAGACGGAGGCCTCGAAGTGCGTGAGCGCGGGCGTGTCTACCGGTACGCAATGGAGGGATTTTTATAGTAAATTAGTGTGCCGCCGCCCAGGGCGCCGGCACGGTCGTTCCTAACTACATGATAATTGGGGATGTGCGGATCCCTTGTCGCGGGTTTCAGGAGCGTTTCCTGTATTAAAAGTATGTCGATTTGGTGATCGCGCAAAAAATGCGTATTTCGTCGCGTTGTTCTTTAAGTCCGTTTGCGTTGTAGAAAGCTACGTTGATCGATCGCGGTTTGGCTCTGCCATTATTACGCGTGGCAGAGGGACTGATATTTACATTATTATTGTTTGTGGTTGTGCTATCCATATTGAATTTAAACAGACAGCGCAGTAACTATGTGCTGGGGTACTGGTTGAGAAGGAGTATTCTGGAAGAGAAGTCGCGATTGCTCGGCGAAATACATAACCTCCGCCATGTTGACGGTTCGTAGGAGTTGACTTAGCGAGTCCAGGGGGTTGCCCCCGGCCGCTTTTGATGTTGCTGGGATGAGAGCCGGTTGAGGGGCTGCTTTGGGTTCCGCGAGTGGCGGATTCGGTTTGGAGCAAGCGGTGGCCATGGGGTTCTGCCACGCGGGGCGAAGAGGAGGGAATGAGGCGGCCATTGGTATTGGCTGTCTTCTTGTTGCCTGAGGGGCGGGCCTAATAGGTCTGCGCTTTTGGTGCGTTTGGACAGCCAAGATAGTTGGCGGTATGTCCCTTAGACTGGCAGAGGACGCATGCGGGTGGACCGTAGTTGGCCAGAAGTGCCTTGTCCCTTGCTCTGGGACATTCTGGGGTGTCGTGGTCGCCTAGGCACTTTACGTACCTGGGCTTGGCAAAGCAGTTACGGGCGGCGTGCCCGTAATTCTGACACTTGTGGCACTGTCCCGGGAGGGTGGGTGGCCTTGTGTGGAGGTTCAATTACAATGTTGGTCAGCCCCATGACTGACTCAATATTAAAAATAGCTTTCCCCTCTGGAGAGAGGTCTAAATGGACCATGACCAAATCGATAGGGCAGCGCTACCTTTTGCTTTTCATGCGGTGGACCGCATGAACAGGGAGGTTTTGCTCCTTGAGAGACTCTAATACCATTTCGGTGGGAATGTTGGCGGGTATGCGCTTAATAACGGCACGAAGGATTCGGTCCTCGGCCAGCGTGTAAGTGTTGGTAGTACACTTGTTTGTCCCTAAGAAATTTAGAGCCTTGGCGGTGGGCGTCGGCGGTTTCAAGCTGGAACTTGATACCTTTGGCGGTCGTCGTAGCGACGAATTTCAGCCTGTTCGACAGGGCGGAGGCTATCATGGGCCACTTATCGGTGTCCCTGATAAATAAGGGTGGAGGGCGCTTGTCCTGCGGCGCACGGGGGGCTGCGGGAGGCGCGGGGGTTGCTTGTGTAGCAACCGGAGTTGGTTGATTAGCTGAAGGCGATGGGGTCGGAAGAGTGGAGGGTAACCCTTACGGGTGCCCTCCTGTTCTTGCGCCTTGGATGGCGGTGGTGTTGTTGACTTTCTCGGTCGTTGTTTTTGATGTTGTGGTGATTTTTGTTTAGATGCTGCCTGCGTCTTGGGAGACGAGGCTAGCATGGCCGCCGCTGCGTAAGATGTCGACGGTTGCGGTGAACGCGGTGGCGGTGTGCGACGGTGCTTACTGTCTGTGCTGGGGGCGAATGTGGCATAAAATGTGACATCCGTCCACGCCGCTTCGCCTCCCATTTCTTCGAGGTCATAAGACGGTTGTTGTTGTCGGTCCGTTGATGTGCTCGGCGTGCTTCGTACGGATGACGAGTCCGACGACGGTGAGCGTGGCGGTTGGGAATACGCTCTTGCTCCCGAATCTATCAAGCGCTTCTCAGGTGTAGATACCTCTACGCCTACGCGTTGGCGTTTCTCGTAGAGTGATGCTTCTGTGTGGCGCTTTTGCGGGTCGCGGAGGGAGTGGATTCGTGGCCCTAGCATGTTCATATGCCGGGCCGACGAATATCCGCGTGGTCACCGTGGGCGCTTTCCCAGGCGTGGGCTCGTAGTCCGGGGCGCTGGGGAGGTGTTCTTCGGTGGTGGCAGCCGGTGGTGGTGATGGCGCCTTGGATCTTATCGGCGGCAGTGGAGTCGGTTGCTCGCCGGTGAATAAATTTCGCGCGGCGAGCGGTCGATCCACGACCGCCGGTGTGCGCTTCTCGCGCTTGCGGTGGTGGGTGGGGGAATCACCCTTGTCCGACATGTCGGACTGGGCCCTGTTTGGGCAGTGCTTGTCCCTGGCGAGCTATGATGCACCTTAAACCCCTCGGCGCGGGCGGATCCACCGTGTAAGACCCCAAAAGGGGAGGCCCAGCGAGGCGCCCAGCGAGCGGGGAGGGGTGCACGGGCTGCTGATGTTATTAGATCTTTTCGCACTATTGCGCGCGTTCTGTTAGCCCCTTTTCCTCACGAAAAGGGGAGATACAGAGGGGGCACGGTTGCACTCGCGGTCGCGGTGGTAGGCACTCTTGCGAGCGGAACGCGTACGTAGGTAGAAGTTCACTCTCAGGTGGCAGTCGGGAACTGGTCTGAGGTGTCCTCTGAGAATCAGAGAGCTTACATTTTTCATTTGGCACCCTCAAGGTGCGTTACCTTAAAGGATCTAGGTCTTATTGCTAGATTACAAAATAATTAAATTTTAATATTTACTAATTACGACGATGTTTTAAAAATACACTTTTTCCCTAATTAACTTATTGCACTAGTTTCACAACATATGTGTTAAGACTCATATAAAAACATTTATACAATTAAAATCTTATAGTATTTCTTTATACAGACATTTTTACAAACGATTTAAAGCAAGCAAGTTTTAAGCAAAGTTTTAAGCAATTAACTCGATTTATGTTACATGAATTAATTATTAAATTGCTTATACAAAGACTAGTCTACTTATCTTAATTTACTTTTCATGGTTCACTAATAAACTAAGTTATCCCGCACAAATACTTTTGTTTCAGTCTGTGGCCAATGTTCAACAACTCAAATAGGCTGAAATGATGATGATGATATGACAAATACTTTACAGCTATGCACTATTTAAAATAACATTTAATAACTGAAGATATTTGCTAGAAATCCTAATGCAGAAGAAACCCTTTGGCTAAATACCTGCGCAGCATATTTCACTTTAATTTTTTGTATTTCATTTTCAAAAACGAGAAATTCAGTTAACTTATTTACCAATCCTAACTCATGTTCACCAACCACTTTTTCAAATAACATTTTTATGTGCTCCCTTTTCGCTACTTTTTCAACTTGCGTATCTGAAAACCTTGCATTTTTCTTTAAAAGATTATTTCTTACACCTTTCAAAAGATGTGGCGCGTCAAATAGAGGAAATATCTTGTGTTCATCAACCTCAAAACCACGAGACTTATATTCCACAGCCTGTCTTAAACATTTTTTCATTGTGTCGTCCTTCAGGCTCTTTATTGCACTCACATTTGTTTGTGACTTATCACAGGCTGTTGTTACGACTTTTAATCCCGACTCGTGGATTTTTCTTATTAATAATTTTATCAAATATTTTAAGTCATCCTTTTTTGTGCAACTTATCGTAAAAGTGGAGCAGACAGGTTGTTTAAATTTCCATTTAATGCTTTTTACCATGAATACTAATGCATGGTCGCCAATCAATTTTACTGATCTTAAAACCAAGATCTTCAAAGCCAATGATTCTGCCATTGTTGAAGTGAAGTCCTACATCTGAGGCCACTTCATCAAATATGAGGAGAGTACATAATCTTTTTTCTAAAGGCAATCTTCTCACTGCTTTTTTTAAATGAGCAAAGATATGTTCATTTATTCCAGGCTCCAAAGGAATGTGGCTCAATAGTTCTTGAAGGCTTCTTTTTGAAGATAACACAAACATGTTATTCAAAACATTATTATTATTTTCTTTTAATGTAAAAAGTTGCCAAACATGCAGACGGTTCACATTATGGTGAGTGAATACCGCCGCGCATGGACATTTGCAGCACCTGAGGGTTACAGATCCGTTGACAACCTTTTGAAAATTGGGCTCCGGCTACCTCACTCACCAGACGAAACGCGAAAGTATTTGTCATACTTCCACTTTACGCTGGTCTTCTGTGAGGTCGTGGTACTTACCCGGACGGGCCTGCCCATTCGCGCAATAGCCGAGGCTGCTGCGTGACCCTACCACCATACCATTATATGCCTTTGCACTTTGTTTGTACAAAATCCTTCTTCCTCTCGGTTTATATTTAGCTTTTAACTGGAGCTTACTAAAAATTTTTATGGGTTCAGGAAACTTTTCAATTTTTTTTTAAAAATGCCTGTGAAAGAGATAGATTCCTTGCACATTTAATTTTTCTGGCTAAGCTTCTTTAATCTAAACTTAGGTTGCAAATATTTCTTTGCATTTGTCTTGTTGTCTTCTCTTGTGGTACTGCAAACAAAAACGTAATAACATGTAAATAAAAAAAGTGATTTTTTTAAAAGTGACAATAACGTATGAGCATAAATTGCTTTTGAAAGTTATAGGACATAGAAATATTCAAAATTGCATTGTTTGATAAAAGTGTATAAAGTTAGCTTTACTAGCTTTGTGTTAGATACTTATTGCAAAATTGATAGCAGTGCTGTGCTTATCTTAAACAAAAAAAGTCAATATCCCCTAAATAATTTGTTTAAGAAAAAGGAAAGAACTTTACAAATATTTTCAAAACTGATATTTTCGTTTCCTAACGAACAGGTAAAGAATGGGTAAAAACATTAGCTTTAAAAGGGTCAGAATAAAATTGTATCTTGAGATACCAGACAAGTCCAAGCATTCTGAGCTATTTAGGTAAAATATTTTTAAATTTCATATATTTTCCAGTATGCCTTTGTGATTGATAGATATAAATCAACAGTTTGCACCCTCATACAATATTGAACTAGTAAGATGCTGCATAATGATTCCTCTATAGGTTATGCCAAGCATTGTTAAAAACGCAAAGTGGATAGACATTGAGACATGCCATGAAGATAGCGGGCGCTTAGCTAAGTTGGATAGTTGGCGAAGTTCCAGCAGTGGCAAATTTTTTTCGACTATATCTATCAAACACATACCACATTCTTACTTAAAGGGCAAATTATACTCAAGTAGTTTATGGAAAAAAATACGATATCTTACCCACATGACTTACTAATGGTTATGCTACCACTTAACTTTGGATCTTTAATGTTTTGAAGAACTTCAACATGTCTTCTTGAATACTTTTAGGTAGGGGTGGTACTACTTGTTTCATATTAAATAAATCTGAAAATAGTTAATATGTTGATGTTAAGCATTGAACTTATAAAGATGTGATTACTTCTTTAATAACTTTAATATTTATAAGATGAACCAGATAATATTTTCCATTTGTGCCGGGTGTTTTTTGCAGCAAAGACTGTAGCGGGTGATTTCATCACTTTGTCTAAATTGTCATTTTTCTGAAGACTAGGCTGCATGGTCTATGAATCTGGTGAGTGAGGTGGCAACCCTCGGGTCCAACCAACGCATCTGGAACCCTCGGGTATAGCAGATGTCCATGGGCGGCGGTATTCACTTAACATCAGGTGAACCGTCTGCTCGTTTGGCAACTTTTCACAAAAAAAAAAATAGATAAAGAGATGAAATCACCCGTTACAAGACTAATTTATATTGATAGGTATATTACAGGGAGAAAATAGAGGAATTTTCATACAAGGCAATTCCTTATATACTATAGTACAGCGCCGCTACGGGGCATATTTGGAACCACAATTAGACTACTAGAGCCATCTAGTCATTTCTATATATTTCTATTATTTTCTATATATATCTTTATATATTAATCAGTTTGCGCAGTGAAAAATCCTTTAATTTGGATTGAAATATCCCCCAGTCGGTCCGCATTTTTGGTTGCCTAGGTTAAACGCACTCGGCCCCCAAATCAAGTGTGATCATGACGGAGAGTTGTGGCGTGTCAATGTCATACAGCCTTCAAGCTCGACCGGGCGATCGCAGCCTTGGACTAACGCGATCTCTAGTACATCGGCCGTATGGGTCAGTGGTGTAATGTGTTGGCTCAGGAGGACACATGGTATCTCCACCGATATGCGTTCGAGTATAAGCCAGTCCCATTTATCCTCTATAGACGACATATTTGCAAAGTTGTTAAGTCCCAACTTTTCGTGTACCTTGCGGAGAGACTTCGACGCGCCGGTACACGAAGTAGTTGGGAAGTTTAAAAGTAATTACCGACCTAAGCTTTGTCTCACCCAAAAGTGTGATATGTATGTCGTACAATTGAGTGAGTGTGCGTAATTCTGCCCACGAGAGTACATTATATGTAAATAGTGACAGAATCAGTCTTCCAAGCTTTAATGCGCCATCTGACGAAATTTGACAGAACTGTTTGAAATACTTTACATACTTGTCTATTAACGCCATCTTTTAACTTTCTAATATTATTTTACATTTTACTACCGATATTATTCAACCGATATAAATGTACTTGTTACATTTAAGTTGTGTACTAATATTGCTTAAACAACAATGACATAGGTACAAGGAATTAAATAAAAGAATAACATGGGAACTTTTAACATTTATTCTTCTTATTAAAGTACCTCAAGTTAGCCTTAAGGTACTTAGGGCAAAGAGTACGTTATTAATATAGAGTATTCAGTGTGTCTCGTGAGACAGCGCCATCTCTTGATGCGTGACCGAACTACAAGTTCAGATGTATATAACCTATACTAATTAACCATTTTGTTTTTATAGTTGAGAGCTGTATTCAACTACAGTTTTCTATATAGTGTAAGTTTATGAAATTTATTTAATTTATATTCGATAACATTGTATAGAAAACTGTACTTGGATACAAGCTTGCTAAATGTTATTTTTGGATAAAGTAAATAAAATACAGAAATATGTTTTGTGAACTTTATTTAGTTATTTATAATATTCACTCGCTACTTTTTTTTTAATCTCTGTTATGAATGCTTTCGAATCTGATGCCATTTAGTAAATTATTTACGTTAAATTATTTATTGGCTATCCAAAATCAGTTAATTTCCTCAAATTGATTGAATCTATGTTTTAAATATGTCACTATCATTTTCAGGATGAGGAAAAGAATACAAATTTGCGTTGCATTCTTTACCTGCAAATACATTATTAATGTTTTGCCGTAGCATATAACAAAATAAAATGATGAATAATGA